GATGAGAAGTGAGGGCAAATTGATGTGTACTACTCCCAGCGCATGACAATACATCTGTTGCCGACTGAAAGCTTTGAACAAAAAGGTAGGCAAAGGTAAGACGCTAAGGTGCTTTATACCTCACACACAGTCTAACTGAGGCTCATGATTTCTTTAAGGCAGTTTCCTATCACTAATAGGCATCTTTTCTTTATCACAAGACGACTTTCAATAAATTCCATAAAATTCTTGAAGCAAACACACAGAATAGTTTCTTCAGGCAGTGATCATGAATATATTTCTCAGCTCTAATTAAAAAGTTACCAGATTCATACACTTGTATGCCACTTATATGTACATCTCAGAATATGCACAAATTTTTTCTTTTCTTAGTAGATTTGTTTGCAGATGTTAGATTCAGTTTTCCTCAACTAAAAGTGATACATTTAACTGTAACAAACCTGTTACTTAAAAATCATAAAGCAGACTTGAAATGGATCTTGGATATCCATTTGAGACTTGAAATATATGCATATATGGAGAGTCTTAATATGTATAAATATATCACTGCACATATGCATAATCAGATGCATAATAATCTTAACACTCATTTAAAATTTCCCAAACTCCAGCCCTTTCAGATTTAATGATACAAGTGAATTTTATATATTTTATAATACCTTTGTATTCTCATGGATTAACAATAACTTAATTTCATAATTGTCTATTTAGGTATCTGTATATGTAAAGATACATATGTACATATATCAATGATCAGAGAATATTCAGATTACCTTACATCACTGATTCTCAGTGAGGTTTGTGTTCCTGAATCACTTGAAAGTGCACCAGAAAAATCCCAAATAAATTGCACAATGAGATAAGGACGTTATACATCAATGATTCTTCCAAGTCAAATAACAGAACTTGGGTTTGATAATCTTGTCTGTGCTTCTCCCGTTCCATCTGCCCAATATATCACACAGAGCAAACAGCATGGAACACAGTTTGCATATTATACGATAAAGATCTAATGAAACCTTGCTTAGATTAGGAGACAGCAGTTCCAGGGAGAATATATCTGTCACACTTTATATTTTGATGCCACGCCACCCTTCCCAGAGACCAAAACCTCAAGTTATCTTATTTTTTTCTTAAGCACATCAAATATGACATCAAAAATTCTGTATCAAACTTCCTTTAAGTAATGTAAATTTCCACCCCTCTTCTGAATTCTACACAGACAGATCCAGGATCTAATTACTACTGCTTGTTCCCTTTGTCTTTTTTTTTTTTTTTTTTCCTCCTCTAGATTGCACAAACAGCCCAAATTGCACTTCCCAGTAATGCAGTCTCTCAGTATACATCAGCTTCTAGTCAATGGAGCTATCTTAGATCTAGATTCCACTTTCCCTTTTACTTGGGACACGAGCCATTTCATGGGTAGAACTCTGGGTAGGCTTTAAGCTATTCTTGTTTTTTTTTTTTTTTTTCACCAGATACACCCATTAAAGTAAGCATTGCATGTAAGTAAGCATGGCAAGAAATCCATCAAATAGGTGAGAAGGATAAAACTTCTTCAGATGTTGTAATATGATATTGTAATAATCACTGCCAATGATTTTAAAGTTTCAATTAAGATTTTAATTCAGACCTAGGACGTGACAAAGTCCCAGACTACTTCTACCTCTCCTCTGAAACGAGAAAGACACCTCAGTCTTATTAAGCTTCTCTCCCCTTTGTATGGTGATATAGAACCTCCTCTGATAGCTAAACAAAGTGGGCAGTCTCTGATTCTTGTGTTTGATGACATTAAATTCACTGGACTGTAAGGAGAGAGGAAGAGTATGGAGACAGTAAGAAAAGGAATTCTGTTTCACAGCCTTAAAAAGCAGGGATAGTTCCGGTAGAGTGGTAACGAGCAATCATCTGAATGATTATCTGAGCAGGGATCAGAAGCATGGAAGCTGACAGAAGGGTTCAAAAAGGAAATCAATCATTCTCAGAGGAGAGAGAAAATTTGCTACTGTTTGGGAGGAAGGAGAACAATGACCAGATGACATAGCAACTGTTTAAAGAGCGGGAGGGAGATTGCCTTTTATTTGCAGATTTTGGTAGCCTGTGTTGGTAACAGAAAATCGGTCACAGATGACTTGCAGTACGTTCATTCTAAGGCTGGAGCATAGCTGTCCCTATGAGGATCCAATATCCAGTAGTCATCAAATGGTAAAAACTACACTGTTGTCTAAAGTTCCTTGAAAATCCCAAGGAGACTGCTAGGATCAGTAAAGCATAGCAACAGCAATTCCCATTGCTATAGAGGCTATAGCAGTTGCATCTAAAGCAACTTGAATAGAAGGCTGGGAGAAAACAAATTGACTCTCATACTGAACTTCCATTTATCTCTGTACTCTATTTGCAACTTTTGAATATATCTATTTTGGGTCAATTTAGCAGAGTCAATTTTAGCAGCACAGCTTGAATATTTGAAATGATTACCTTGATGTTAAACTGTAATTCCCAATATTGAGATATTCACTTCATATTCTTTGGAAATAGTTTCCCTTTTGATATCTTAACTTGCTAGCAATACACTTCCTAGTACTTTGTGAATCTTCTGGAAGACAGAGAAGCAACGATAACATTACGTGATTTACACTGGTCGCAGGAAAACTTGTTCCATATCACTGCCAAATACTAAAATTCTCTCACATTATGGATTTATGCTGCCCAACTCAACAGAGTCTGCTCCACACTAGGCCCTTTTGGTAACACTAAAATTGGCATACATTTCTCTGATGGTAACCAGACAGTGTGCTCTTTCATTCCATCCATAGTACTGCTTAGAAGCACCAACAAAACAGAATAAAATGCATATGTGGAACACATTAGCTCATTCTATTATCTAAGACTTACCATTTTTCTTGCAGAATGAAATTGTGCCGCTCTATTAATAATATTTTTATAGGATACTGTAGAAGGTTCAGAGTCATTAAAATCTGGGTTTTTTTTTTTCATAGAATCATAGAATCATAGAATCATAGAATGCTTAGGGTTGGAAGGGACCTCTAGAGATCATCTAGTCCAACCCCCCTGCAAACGCAGGGACACCTAAAGCACGTGGCACAGGACTGCATCCAAGCGGGTTTTGAAGATCTCCAGAGAAGGAGACTCCACAACCTCTCTGGGCAGCCTGTTCCAGTGCTCTGTCACCCTCACTGTTAAGAAACCACTGCCACCAGTGAAAAGAGACCATCACCGTCCTCTGCACTCCCTCCCTTGAGGTATTTATATACACTGATTAGATCCCCTCTCAGCCTTCTCTTCTCCAGGCTGAACAGGCCCAGCTCCCTCAGCCTCTCCTCATAGGGCAGATGTTCCAGGCCCCTGCCCAGTTTGGTATCATCAGCAAACTTGCTGAGGGAGCACTCTGTGCCTTCATCCAGGTCATTGATGAATAAATTGAAATTTTTAATTTTCTTAAAAAAAAAAATCAGTCTAAATCGAATTTTCAAAAGTGTAACACTGAGTCTCCATTTTTCTAAAAGGAAAATCCTTTTAGATACAATATAATACAGCCTATATGTAGGTATAGGATGCCTAGCCATTAGCAACACATCTCCTACAAAAACCTGGCTACTGAAATGGAAAGGAGAAGTGGGCTAAGGAGTCAACCTTCTTGCAAGGTATTCTTCCTATAACTCTAACAGTAGCTGCAAAATTCCCAATCCCTCCCCTTTTGGAAGATGATGCGAACAAAGCTTCCAGAGACAAAGCTCTAGCTTCCTAACTTAGGTCAGCTCCCAGAAGAAGAAAGCATGACTGTTAAATTCACACTTTCTCAGAAGTGCACAAATTCATGGGATTTTTGCACTTAGAATATATTCAATTCAATACATAATTGCAATCCACTTCATTTAGGTAAATAATAAGTAGAATCATCGAAGTGAACATTATGGTATAACTGGTTTATTTGAGTTTTGTGGAGGTATCTGGATTACAATTAAAGCTAGGCTTATATAATCACAGCTAGTCAGAACAAGAGCACCTAAAAATGGAAGAAATCAATATTCCCAGTTCTACTCATGTTACATGAGGCACAGTCAGATTTTCCATAAGGAAATTTTTCTTTCATTTGTAACCTTCCTTGGGATTCATTAGGTTCATAGCTCTCTTGGGAACAATGGGAACAAAAGAACAACAACAACAGAAAAACAGTTTAGTATTTTTTAAAACATTGTCCCCTACTTTTTAACATTTATTTAGCTATAAGTGATTATTAAAAAGCATTATTTTTATTAAGTGTTATCATAGAATCATAAAATGCTTAAGGCTGGTTATCCTGTAACAATTAAACTTTCCTGTAACATATTTTTCTTTTTTTTTCCTACTTCATATACAGTTTCATCAAACTGAAATATATTCATGAAATTTATGTTCAATTCATTTTGTGTAGACACCTAAATTAAAACTACTCTGTCATGAAAATTTGAAGATAAGTTACCGGCACAGGTACCTTTATAATTAATAAAGAGAAACAAGTACTTTTGGAGTGTTTCATTTGACCTTTCTGAGACACCTCCTCCAGGAGATGGACTGTACCCAAAATTGCTATTTTCCACCATTCACTGAGGAGAGTGTGAAAAGGATCTCATCTATGGATATCTACACTGCAAACCTCTTCTGCATTGCACCAGTTAATATTTATTGTTAGCATGATGTTCATACCATGTTCACACGACTTTGTCATTCTACTTCTACCTTTACATACCGAAAACCGAAAAAATGATTCTGCTTTATATTAACCAATATTGATCAAATTCCAAAAACTTATACATTTTTTTTTCCTTTAGGCATATTAATAAATAGTAATTCCTCAACAACACATCTTTTTCTGATCCATATAAGAAAACAGAATCAAGTAGAAAATGGTATCTTACCTGACTGCTTGTAGAAGTAAAGATGATCATTGTATTATAAATATATAGAAATCATGTATATTCTGCATTAAAAAAGGATACATTCGTATGGCTCCTGTTCTTGTCCCAATTGCCAAAATTTTCTGTACTGGGTCAAAAGCTAAGGCAGTAGGTAGATAAGGAAAACCATGACGAACCGTCTGAAATAGAACAAATGAACAGTCATTGAAAATGATTTGTAACAAGAGAGAAGTTAATATATTATTTTGGCTGCATAGGAAGAGAATCTGTATTTTGCTTTACATTGTATTGTTTGTAATACATTTCAAGAAAAGTATCAACAAAGATGTAACATTCTGAATACAAAGGTGGATTTCACTCACGCCAATTTCAAATTATGTTATTTAGTTAGCACTATTTTATATGCATTTTCATATGCTTTTATTAAAACAAAGAGGATGACAAATATGCCAATATATAAATGGTATATTTTGCTTATATGGTATATGGAAATATAACCTTAATATGTCAGCTAGTTGGAATTGTAAATCGAAAATAAGAAAACACCTTAAAATGATTTTAAAACACCGTCACAAATAGAAGCAATAGAAAGAAATGGAGTACATCCAGGGCACGAGATTAAAAAATAAAAGCCAAAAAAACCACAAATTTAGTTTATGAAGTAAAAATCCTTAATATCATCCAAAAAATAACATATCAAAGATGTTCTCAAAAAGTGCAACTGAACCACTCATCCTCTCTTTGTTTATAATACTATGCTTTTAATTCTAATCGTAAAAAGAGAGACTTTGGAGAACAAACGAATTGAGCATGACATAACACAGGCTTGAGTTTGAAGATAATAATATTTAAAAACACACATTAGCTTCAGGGTTATGCCCATTATGACTTACCTAGTTTTCATAAAGAATAATATTATAGCATAAGAAAAAGAATAACTAGACCAGGCTATATAAATAATAAAAAAAGAGACTCTAATGGGTGTGATTGCTTACCTAACGTCGGGCATCAAATTGCCTTTTTTAGTATACATCTGAGATTTGAGAGGAGATGTTTGGATCAAGTGAAATTTACATTTTCAGATTTTTTTTTCCCCTCGGAATTATCTTGTTCATGATCTGTGTCTGCTGAAGTATTCAGCAGTCCCTAGGGAACGAGTGCAACAACAGGGAGTCCTTAATTGCAGACCTGTTGAGTAAAAGGCAGCTGATGATCCTTACAGCTGTATCACTCCAACTCTGATTTCTTTCTTTCCAGCTGGAAATACTTCAACTTGCATTCACAAGTATTTTGGGATGTTATTCAGCAAATAAACTCTTCCTTAAAAGAAATCTTACTCATATCTAATTATTGCCGATAAGGGATGTCTTTAAAAATGCTAATTATGAGTTCCCAGACCCCCAAAATATAGAAGTATACACTACTTTCAGTAAGTTGCAAAATAGCAACTGATTTTTTTTTAGTGTTCATGTAAACACTATTAAAGATCTCAATAACTCTGGTTTGGTGGTTTGGGTTTTTTTTCTCATTTTCTGAAGTGGTAGGACTGCTCAGACTAAACAATGTGATTTTAATAGAGCTAGACTTATACACTGTAAAAATATTTTTGCTTTTCATGTCACAAAACCCTCAGGAATTAGTAACAGAAATATTTTCTAGCTTGTCTAATATTTAGCTTAAATGCATTATTTTCATTATATTTGAGATTTCTGAGTTATGGTGAATAAATGTTCTTTCCTATCTGAAAAATAAATACTTTTTAAAGTTTTTTGATTATTAATTTTTAAAAATCCTCCCAAGTTTGAATTTCTAGCAATTCCAATCACAATAAAACCTTTCTGAGGTTTATTCATAACTACAACTTACAATCCTATTTCTCTACAACTTGCAGTCCTATTTCTTCAATTTAAGAACCTAAAGAAAATTATTTTTAAAGATTTATTCAAATCTTTTCTATGTATTTAGCATCTTCCTTGTATTTTCAGAATTTCTGCAGTCTATATGAAGTCAGATTTTTCATTTGTAAATCATATTCGAATCCTGGTACAGACACAGAGCCATGGGAAGGGAACTAGCTTTTCAGTACCATAATTCAGTAAAAATTCCTGAACTGTAGGACTGACTTAAAACTTATTTCTGTTTTCCAACCAATTTTCTAAATTAAGGGGATTTATACTTATTACTGTGGGAAATTAAGATCTTGGGAATGCATAATTCTTCCAATTACAAATATTGTTGAAAGCTAGAGATCCTTCAAGTAAATCACAATTTTCAAGTAAAATATTCATATTAGAACTACCTATTAAAAATAATAGTAACCAAAATGGACGAAAACAGTCTAGATGATAGTAACCAGACTATACAGTACACGTCAAAGTGGAAAAAATGCCTCTATGACTGAGAATGTAGCACAAATGGGAGCAGATTCAGAGGTAACTCTTGAGATTAAGCCTATTCAACAGAAGAACAGGGTAAGTTCTAATACATTAAATCCCCAGCCTCTTGGCCTTTCAATACTCCAGCCACCAACCTATTTCCAGGGACACAAGAACACAGTACTTAAAATAGATTTTTCAATAATATATTGATACAATTAATATGAGCATATATGTAAAAATGCATAATGATTCTAGAACTGTGCCTGCATTTCCTTAGAGTGTTTGGTAATACATGTGAAATGGTGGGAAGAGCTACAGACATAACTTGACCCTAAGGTAACAAATAAAACATAGGCCTTTTTGGCTGTATTGTGTATGGTAGGAACAACGTAGATCAAAACTATCAGCAGTGATCAGAAAATGCAAAACAAAGCAGGAATCTTTTCCAAAATTAAACTCAATAGCAGACAGGAACAGCAAAACAAGAATCCTAAATATATCAATCTACTTTCTCATAAATGTAGGACCTACTGTCCTAAGGTGCCAAAAAAAGGGAGAGAAAAAGCTGACAGCAGATGGAGCCAAGACTGCTTCTCTCTGCATTATCCAGCTTCCTTTACATCTCCCTTTTTGGCATATTGTCTCTCGAGGCAGTCTGTGATCCCTAGCACAGTGTATATGCAATATTTAAAATACGTTATTTGAAAGAGAACAATTAAAAATGCAGCTACAATTTCAGCATAAATCCTGGTTCAATTCTGTTATTCCATTTTTAATGTGATGAAAATCATTGAAAATAATTTTTCTTATGGTGTATTCCATGTATATATCATTAAAATAATCTTTATACAACCAATTTACCTAAATGAACATAGGAAATTGATTATTTGGGCTTGCCAGTATTTTACCAATGAATTTTAATGTGCTGTACAGAATGAAACAATAAGCTCTTTCTAAGATGCTATGATACATTTCTGTGGCCAGAAACCAAAATCTCAATAGCAGTAATATGCAATATCCAGTCTAATTGTTGACACAGTACGTAATGTAGCCTTTCAGGAGAAGTGCATTTGCTAATTTTTTTTCTATGGCCCTTTTATTAGACTGGAAAGTTATGATTTTTCAAAGTAATTTTGACCTTCTGTAAATAATTTCAGAAAATACAGAACTAGAATCTATTTTAAAACCCATCAAGAATGTACTAAGGTGTATGATGCAAAACTGACCCAACTACTTTGTCCTTCTGCTTATATTTCATATATATTCTATTTTGTGTAACATTTGACAGCAAAACAGATTTACTTAAGTAAATAATATTGCGAGTGTATTTATTAAAATGGAACAACATGGTCTAAAACTGTGACTCAGAATATAGAATCTAGTTCCAATTTGTGACCAGCCTGCCATGTGCAGAAGTCTCCTTGAAGCAAGTAATTTATTTGTCTGTGGAATAAGGGATGAAGTGTTGAAGTCTACATATGATTCTCAAGGATTGTTTTACTCAGTTGTGTTAGAAATTAATAAATGTCAATGATTACGGCTTTCTCTGACATTGTAGTGGTGAAAATGGGTCTTTATAAAGATGTGTTGCCATGCACTACAGCCCTCTATAGTCATGTCTTCCCTCCTATATGGGCCTCTGTGCCTGGATTCTCTGTAGGCTCCTTGTTCAGGAAAGATGGGAAGAGGACAAGATACCAGTGGGCTTCCACCCTAATAAAATGATACAGGACGGATACATTTTTATAAAATAAATTTTCATTTTTTAAAGATACAGATATCTTTATCTCTTACATATGTTAGATATATATATATACGTAAAAAATAAATATATAAATGTATTTAAGCTTGCTGCAACTTTGCAAAATTTCAAACCTCAAGAGATAGTTTCCACTTAGCTGTTACCCTGTATTACAGGCCAAGGCTTCTGAGCATGTTCACAGGTGGTTCTAAAATTTACACTTACTTTTCTTAGAGAAACATACCCACTGATGGTTCTTTTTCTCTGTTTCTCTCTGCACATAAAAGCTGGAAGCAGTAGCTTAGAAACATCCTACATATGCAACGTTGGTGAGCCCATACCTTGAGCATTGCATGCAGCACTTGTCTCTACATCTAAACAAGTAGTGGAGTCAAAAATGATGCTCTAGAAAACTAATGCTCAAGGTGATGGAACATGAGGCTTACCAGGGGAGACTAAAATGCTATGACTTCTGTTTAGAGAGGAGAAGGTCGTGCAGGAATATGGAAATGATTTATAAGATCAAGAAGGCTGTGGATCAGCTGAATGTGGATCTGTTATTCATCAAATCCACAGAGACACTCAAAACAAGTGGGAGATTGGATTAAATCAGAAAAAAAAAGTACTGCCTTACACAACAGATGATAGTGAACTTTTGTAACTTGGTGCCATATGATGTGAAGGCGGATGGCATCAGGTTCAAAAAGGGATTAAACAGATTCATGGACAATATCAGCAAATTAATACTAAAAAGACATGGTAAAGATACAGTCCCCAGCATCTCTAACCCAGTGATTGCGGATGGTGTGGGATTATGAAGGGAATGGAGTACAGAAAGTGATTTAACTTGATTATTCTCCCTAAAAGACATAGTCTAATGCCACTGCCAGAAAATGACTACTGGTTTATATGTCTCAGCAGGACATTTCCTATGAGTGTATAACCTTTATGTACAGCAGCTCACCAGAGAAAGGAAGAAAAGGGGGATTGGTATTGGACAAGAAAAACACAACAGAGAAAAAAAAATCATAGAATATGTGGATACACAAAGGAAAGAGAA